ACCATTCGGGTGCTCTGCTCTTTCGAGACCAGCGACCAGACGGTGACTCTCATGAGTACGAACCCCAATGTCGGCAAATCTCCCGGCATTGATGTCACGTTAGTATCAAATAATATGAAACAAATTTTCAGTGAATAACTGATAATTTGACAACAGATCCCTACAAAACGCGAGGACACGACTGGAGCAACCAATCACTTCTGTGGTGACGAATACAGCGCCTCCGCCTTCAGTGATGATGAGAATACTGGACCGCACGGGAAATGACGCCCAGATTGTGGGTTTGGGCGATGAGTTGGTGCTGCGGATAGAGCTGAAGGACCCGAGCTCTGCATTTGCTGTATTCGCCCGAAACCTTTACGCCCGCAGTTCTAACGGCGAGTCTCTGTTTCTGATCGATAACACTGGATGTCCTACAGATCCGGCTATATTTCCGGCTCTTCAGGTCGACCAAAGAGATAAGCGATCGCTGTTCTCTACATTCAAGGCGTTTAGGTTTCCGACTACAGGAGTCGTCAACTTTGAGGTACAGATCCGTTTCTGTCAGGAGAAGTGTGAACCAGTCAAATGTGTGTCCGGTTCAGAGTCTTTTGGCAGAAGACGAAAGAGAAATACCAACGAAGATAACGATGAAGACAGTGATGCCGAGGAATATATCAATGAAACGGAAACTTTAAGACAAAACGACTCTTTGCAACCAATTCTTATACCCAATGATGAAGCGATTCTTGCGATTCGTAAACGTGTGAAAGGGATTAGAGTTAATAAAACGGAAAATAAAAATCTTGTTTTCCGTAACCGAAGCGCTCTAATGGAGGATTCAAGTAATTCAAGTGTCACTTCTGAACCGTTACCACAACCCCAACCCCAACAACAGCAACAAACACTGCCGCTTAAACCTAATCCAAGTCCTGCACAATCATTACCTGACACTAAACCTGTTGTCGGAAGCTCTCAAAGCACTGAATCATCCGTCAAAGTGACTGTTCCTTCATTTCCTCAATCGTATGGCTCTAATGATGTGAAAAACAATGGAAACAAAATCTACGAAAGCTATGGCTATAATAACCCCTCACTCTCTGGCCAACAACAACCTCCAGTACCGTCTCCTCAACACAATACTCGAACCCATTTCTCATATCCACCCGATTATCAGAAAAACTATCAAAGCAATAGTTATATTCAAAACAATTACGAGAATAGCTATAATCCAAATTCAAATCCAAATTCAAATCCAAATAATTATCAATTCAATCCAAATTATAATTTTAATCCAAACAACTATAACCCGAATCAAAATTATTATAATGCAAGTCAAATGAATGCAAACCGGAATTGGCAGTCATATCCACCAGCACAGCCTTACCCACCAGCACAGTCATACCCACCGTCTCAGTCATACTTACCGTCTCAATCATATCCACCATCTCAACCATACCCACCATCTATGCCATACCATCCACATCAAGCATATCCACCATACGTACAGCAGCCGGTTATGGGACATCACTTATACTCAGAGCAAAAATCAGTCACTCATTTGCCGCCACAATATATAAACCGAAACGACTACTTCCCTCAACAGGAATCGCCGCCAACCACCACACAAAAACCCACCAGAAAAACACGGCCACCACTCCATCCCGCATACCTAGAATGGGGTGATTCCCGACCCTCGAGACCACCTCCTCGGCCCTCACCGCGACATAAGATAATAGCATCGACTGAAAAACCCCAAACACAAGAGGTTCCGCTCTCTCTGACACTTATGGTCGGCGACAATAAGGATTCAAATGGGAACTCAAATTCAAACGAAAATTGGAAACAAAATACAAACAAAATTATCCAAAAACGTGAGCATTAATACTGAAATTGCTTTACTTTTCTCACTAAACTTAGATTTATGATTCAATAAGTATTGTGTAAATAACTTAAACTGTTTTTTGGTTTTCAGATGAAGAAGTTATTCAAACTGAAGAATGCGAGGATTGTAACACAGGTTTGGCTATATTTTATACGGCACTCACCGTATCCCTCATTCACATGGGACTGGTATTTGGAGCTTATATTTACACAACAAAACTAAAGGCATTGCGGTCTAAGATGTCTACTAAACAAGTGCTGGACTCGGAAGAAGATATTACAAGAATAGACCACAACATCAGTGCTAGCAATCAGGCGCTTAATAGTAATGTCTTTTACGGGAACAGAGAACTAGGGTTTAGGACATCACTGCCCAGTAGTACATCCTTTGACTTCACTCATCACTAATTATGCCATTTATTAATATTTCATTATTAAAATTTGTAAATTAATTACATATTTAGTTTACTGTAATGAAAATATAAAAAAGAATTTATAAATAAATTTTTAGTTAAACAAAATCTCTCAAACAATGTATTAAATTCTCAATCATTAGTTTAACATTACTTTTACATTAATTTATATAAAAGCAATTAAAATGGACTTAAATGTATTGTATTTGAGTTGTGATATTCAGTCATAAATAACTTCATATAACATAAAACTATTAATAAATAAAAATATAAAAACAAATTAATAGAAAACTAAAACATATTCACGAATAGACATTGAAATTGAATAAAAAACAAATTCAATGTATAAAAGACTCGACATGTTTGACCAGTTTATCGGTTTCTTTCGGACTGATGCCCAGACTATTGCCCAACTCTTGAGCTGTCGGCGCGCTCTTCGGGCAACTCCTGTACGACAATGGATTGGTTCCGTTCATGAAATCAGGCAACTCTTCATTGGCTATGTATTGGTGGATATCATCTTTAGTGACCAAATGGAGGAGTTCTCTGTGCTCTTTGGGAAGCCATGACTGCACTAATTGGAAGACATATTTCAAAATGAATGGCAGTTCATAGATAACAACCGACTCCAAGAGCATCGGGTAATAGTCACGAAAGGTCTGCACAATAAACGACAGCAAATCGATGTCCACGTTTGAGATGCCGGCGCCGTTGCAGTCAAACACGACACACACTCCTTGGTTCAGATGATCGGCAAACCTTAGGCTTTCCTTCTCAATGAGATATACGATATATTTCTTAAGCATATCCGACCAAAACTTTATCTTTTTGTTATTCTTCACGCGGAAGACAATCATTTGCGCGCC